ACAAGGATTAGAAGACTACCTTGCACACACACTTCCAGAAGATGGGAGTGGCAGAAAAGAAGGATTTTGTTCGGCAAAATCCTCCTCAAAACTTGAGGAGAAAAGAGCAATGGGGACCTTGTTACAATCGTTTTATGTCCCCTGCTTTTCACATTCAATTTCATTATATCTTCTTATTTTTTATTAATTTATTTAATTATTAAATATGTTACTAATTCATCTATAATCATTACTAGAAAAAATATGCTATAAATCAACAAAACCGTGGAGTCAGAAGTGGTCTAGCTTGCATGATAGAAAGTCATACTCCCAGCATCGTTTCGACAAGGTAATACTAATTTGCATACTTGTTAAGTTTTTGTCACTTTGGCTTAATAATTATTCTACTACATTCAACTTGATTAGGCAAATCCCGAGACCCAACAGCCAAGATCATTAATTGACAACTGGGGTGACATGCACCGTCATGGGCAGAGTTTTGTCAATTTGGACGCTGAACAGTCATTTGTAAGTAAATTTTAAATTTATTTCTTTTTTCATATTTAACATAACATATTATACTATTTTTATTTTATTTACCTTTGCAGGCTCAAATGGAGGGGGAAAGAACCACGCATATGACACAGTCTGTTGGCGAAGATTCATCTGCCACGGTGGTCAATGAAGAGGGGATTATGTCCCAAGTCTTGGGCAAGCGCAAATGACACACTAAGGGAGTGCGACCAACACTACCACGGAGAAATCGTTCAAGCGCTTCCACCTCATCATCTGGTTCACAATCGGACGGGTTGTCTTCGATTAATTTGCCCCATTATGTCCAAAACTGACTGAACAACATCTATATCGAGCAATGCAACATGTTTGACAACCAGCAGATAATGATGGAAGCCATGCACTTGATGAATCCCAACATCAACTTCTTGCCACTTAACCATCTCCAACCGTTGGTTCCTCCGCCGCCTGAGCTAAACGAAGAAGACGAGGACGACGATGCTGCTAATTTAGGGGATTAAATATCTGTTTTTATTTTTTTATTATCAACACTTTTTAGTATTTATTGATTAATTTACTTTTTACGAGTGATCTTATTATTGTGTTGACTATTTTATATCAATTTTATTGTTCCATTTTATTATAAAATTTTCTTTTAATTTATAAATTCAATAATTAATATTATTAGTAACGTACGGCCAAAAAAAGATAAAAAAAATTATTTGTGACGACATATCTAAATTGTCATCGCAAATAGTCTACATTACTAGCGACGACACTTTGAAGCCTATGGTCACAAAAAGTTTTAAATACTTTTACGAGTCGTCGCAAATAAGTTAGGACAAGTCATCATCAATGACACATTTGACGGAACATTTGTGACGACTTATTCGCGACGACTATCGTCGCTAATATATTAGCGACGACATTTAAAAACTTTGTCGTCGCAAATATACTATTTACGTTGGGTTTTTTGTGACGACTAACTTGCAACGTCATGTCGTCAAAAATAAAGTATTTACGACGATAATGTAGTTATTTATGACGACAGTCAGTCATCGCAAATAAGCTTTTTGTTGTTGTACTTCCCCACTCATGACCCCGCTGCCCACCTTCAGCTGTGACTCTTTTTCACCATCATGATGCGTCGGATAACAGAGCCAAGCCCAGCGATCCACCACCCACGTCCCTTCTCACAAACGTATTTCATTATCCCACCCTTCTCCTTTCGGGGAACTCGACCAAGTCACCCTCCTAATCCTAGGCCGTCGCCTTAAACCCAGGCCTCCACCTTTCTTCGTACTGGCTTTATGAGGTAATTGAGAATCAAGATAATCCTACTCTCTTTTGCCTCCTTGCTGATTGTGAGCCCATAAATTTTCAAGAAGGAGTACAAAGCAAGAAGTATTGGAGGAATGCTTATGAAGAAATCAAAGTGATTGAGAAGAACGACACATGGGAACTAGCTTCACTTCCAAAGGGGCATAAGGCTATTGGTGTAAAGTGGGTGTACAAGGCAAAAAAGAATGCTAAGGGAGAAGTTAAGAGACACAAGGTAAAACTAGTAGCAAAAGGTTACAATTAAAGAACCGAAATCAACTATGATGAGGTATTTGCTCATGTCGCTCACTTGAAAACTATAAGACTATTTACTTTTTTAGCCGCTCAAAATAGGTAGAAGATTTTTCAAATAGATGTGAAGTCCGCCTTCTTGAATGGAGTTCTTGAAGAAGCCTATATCAAGCAACCACTGGGCTATGAGATGAAAGGACATGAAGACAAAGTTCTAAAGTTGAATAAGGCCCTATATGGCTTAAAGCAATCATCGAGAGCATGGAATAGTTGAATCGACAAGTACTTTTAAGACAACAACTTCGCAAATTGTTCTCATGAGAATGCCCTCTATGTCAAAGTCAAAGAAGAAGATGTCTAGGTCGTGTGCTTGTAATTTGATGACTTGATATTCACAGGAAACAATCCCAGTATGTATGAAGAGTTCAATAAAACAGTGATAAAAGAATTCGAGATGATAGCTAATGGGCTTATGTCCTAATATCTTGGCATAGAAGTTAAACGAGAGGAAGGCGGTATTTCATTTCTCAAGAAGGTTATGCAAAAGAGGTGCTAAAGAAGTTCAAGATGGATACCTACGAGCCCATAAATACCTTGGTGGAGATGGAGTCAAGTTAACAAAGTATGACGAAGGAGAAAGAGTAGATCCAGTCCTTTTCAAGAGTTTGGCTGGAAGTCTACATTACTTGACATACACTAGACCCAACATTCTTTTGCAGTTGGGCTCATTAGTTGCTACAGAGAGATTCTAACTACCACCCACCTAAAGACTGCCAAGAGAATTCTTCCTTATATCAAAGGTACGGTTGACTTTGGCTTATTTTTTTCATCATCTAATCATTACAAGCTTGTTGGATATAGCGATGGCGATTGGGCTACAGTTAGGATGACAGAAAGAGCACCAAAGGATTTGTGTTCTTCATGGGAGACGCTACTTTCACTTGGATGTCAAAGAAGCAACCCATTATCACCCTATCCACCTTTGAAGCTGAGTACGTAGCAGCCACGTCATGTGTTTGGTTGAATGAGATAAACAGCAACACGAAGAGCCGACTAGAATTCGTGTGGATAATAAGTGTGCAATGACATTAGAAAAGAATTCAGTATTCCATGATAGAAGTAAGCACATTGATACGTGTTATCATAACATAAGAGAACCTATTGCAAGAAAGGAGGTGCAAGTAGAGTACGTGAAGACTCAAGATCAAGTGACAGATATTTTCATTAAACCTCTCAAGGTGAAGACTTTATTAGATTGAGAAGTTTGCTTGGAATAGCAAATCAAGTTTAAGGTGGGGTGTTAGAAGTTAAACTTGATTTTTGGGCTTAATTTTTTTTAGGTTTTATAGTTAATAATTAGTTATTGGGCTTAGAGTTTAGTTGTCCAAATAAGGGCCCAAAGTGTTTTAAGTTCTAGAAACAAATTGTAGAGAATTCCATGGAATAATCTATAGATAGTTGTAGTAGCCTCATATAGTTGATTTTTGTTAAAGAGAAGATGGAAAAGAATTCTAGAGTCATTTGTACCCATTAGATTATATGTATGTTGGCCCAATTTAAACCGTTTGTAAAGGAGGAGCCACTAGTATAAATAGGGGTGAAATCCTTCCATTTTGTATCAAGCCAAAAAATTAAGAGAAGTAATACAAAGAGTCCTCGTCCTTCATAAATCTCAAGTTTTTATACTAGCTTTTTTCTAGGTCTAAAATTTTTCCATTTTCAACACGGCGATGGTTGAACTCTGTGTTGACAAAGGTCACGTAAAAACCAAGGTGAAGGAGTTTTGCCAGTTTCAACATTGGGCTAATGTGGCCTTGAGTTGGGAAAGGAACACAAATTAACTGCATTAGGACGGGGTTTAATTTGTTCATTAGTATAACTTACACGTTCTGCTGAAGTGCTCATCTTGTGTGATTTGTTGTTGTTGTTGTTGTTTTTTTTTTTTTGTTTTTTTTTTGTTTTTTTTTTGTTTTGTTTATTCGTGATGTTTATTGCATGTGGTTTCTTTTTTTATATTAAAAAAAATGTCTGTCTCGGCCATAGAGAAATGAGCTACATGCATGATTTTAAGTATGGAGATCATCATTTTCAGCAAAAATAAAAGAAGAATTAATAGGAGCCACAAAACAGTCGATGTTATAATCATACAGAGATATCCATTGAAAGGATCTACAAGAATTTGAATTTTTTGTTGCCAAAAATTTGGTAATCAAAAACCCTATTTTTGGTAGCAAAATATTTTTGTTACTAAAAAATTTTTGTAGCAAAAAGTATTAATTACCAAAATTTTTGTAGCAAATAGTTTTTGCTACCAAAAAATGTATTTGGTAGCAAAATGTATGATATTCGGGGACTAAAAATTTCGGTAGCAAAAGGCATTTGGCAGCAAAATGTGTGAGTTTTAGGACCCCAAAATTTTAGTAGCCAAATATATTTGGTAGCAAAAAGTACGCGATTCAGTCACCAAATATTTGATAACAAAAGGTATTTGGTAGTAAAAGTCATGAGATTTAGGGCCTAAATATTTGGTATCAAATTGTATTTAGTAGCGAAATGTATGAGATTTGGTGACCAAATATTCGGTAGCAAAAGGTATTTGGTAGCGAAAAATATGATATTTAAAGACCAAATTTTTGGTAGCAAAATGTATTTGGTAACGAAAAGAATAAGAATTGGGTACCAAATATTTAGTAGCAAATAACTAATTTGTTGCTACCAAATTTTGTTGGTCACCAAAACTGAGACAGATTTATGTACGTGTATTTTTTGAAAAAATATATATAAATAAAATGCCAAATATTAATTTAAAAATCTCTAAATATTTCAATGCATATTAGAATCCAAATAAAATACTAAAATAGTCATACTTAAGCAAACCCAAATACTTATGTAAATATTGTACTAGTATAATCTTAATATTACAAAAATTAAACGCTCTAACAAACTGAGGCCGGCAGTGGAGGATCTTCTCTTCTTGGGACGGAAGGTCCGGGATGATCTGATGGCAGATTTATCTGTTGAAGTAGCTTTTGAATAAACTCATGTTGTTGCTTCATTAGAATTTCCATATCCAACATACGACGTTTGTTTTTCTGAACTTCATTTTCAAGCTTTTCATATCCTGACCATCTAGATTTGCGAGCTTGTGGCGCTTTTCTTAGTACATGACCTATGCCACATTTGAAACCATATTTTTCATACATTTCACTTGATAAAACTTGAGAGTAAATTTCTTCCTCCGCATCAGAGTCAGGTTCTGACCCCTCTAGTACTTCACTTAAACGAGCATCGCGGATCTGGATCATTTGTTCATGTATTAGGCGAACTGTTATAAACTTTCAAGTTAGAGTAAAAAAAAATACAAAATCAAATGAAATGATAAAGTGTTTAGTAATTTTTACATAATCTTCCTTTTCTCTCTCAGTTGTCCATCCCCATGATTCGCTCCAATGAGTATTCTTGAAGACCTCAAAGTACCCTCCTGAAGCATTGAGTGAGAACTCGAATGTGTGTTCTATATAGAATCATTATTTGTTAGTTAGTTAAAAAGAAAAAAGAAATTATGGTTTCAAGTGGTAATATACTTAAGTGAGTGAAAGTTAATTACATGAACTTCCTCTAAATATTGAACTATAGATCTTGAGTCACCTAAATAACATGCTGGCTTTTCGAAATGATTTTCCGCAGCAACCTGTGCTTTTTTCTGTATAAATGAAAAAAGAAACATTTAAATGCATTAAAATATAATAGAAATTTCGACATCATCTCCCTTACAATTTCAATTTACCCAAAAAATCCAAAACCACACATATTGGTTCAATTTGCATATCCAAAACCACATTCTCAAACAAATGTCTCATAATACAGTTAAGTTGTTCATTTTACCTACCATTGATCATCGCCAAAGCAATTGGTGTACATCCACTCCCAATTATATGATTTAATGTATTGATTCGGTAAATATTGCAATGGATCTTTTCCTTCCTCAATAATGGCCTGATATTTTTGGTGGCATCGATATCGATAACCTTTAAAGCACTCATAGAAATATTGATACACAATGTCTTTCAATTGTGGATGCACGTCAAAATCTAAATGAAATAGATCCTGAAGACAAAAACAAGTTGCTAAATTTGTTTTTACATAAGTGCAATCGTTATAAAGAATAAGTTACAATAGAAAATTTTACCTTCAATCGTCTTATGCATTCATTCTGTTCATTTTTAGGAATCTTACCCCAACCACTATACTTTAATGGAGCATGGTAGCGAAATATAAAGCCGTTTTGCTCGTAAATCGGCCTGCATGCTCCCCGTAAACTCAGAGCTCAGATTCCCTAAATTGTACTTGAAGCTTTCCTTTCTTGGACACTAACTTGTTAATTCCTTGACATGTAGTTGGTCCTCGAACATTTGTTGACCATGTTGTTTACAAAGGAGGTTAAATGTAGAATAGTGTACAAAAGAAACCTCAATTAAAAATAATTATTATGATCTTATGTGTATTTTCAATACGTAGAATCTCTGGAGGTTGATCCTTATGAAATTGTTGAGGATCATGAGATGGCTCATTTTCTGCTCGTGAAGATGTGGATGAGCCTAATGTGCCTCAAGATGACTCAACTACCGGAATAGATGCCACTGAAGGAGTTCGGGGAGATGCCTTAACATTCGGCGGAGATTGAGCGGATTTGGATTTTGAACCAGAACTAAATGATAGCTTTCTCGTACGAGTAGAGATAACTAATATCCTAAAACAATAAAAATAAAAATAGAAGTTAGTGATTGGAGGTATGGTATATTCAAATCTTGTCACAATTTTACAACTACTTCAAACAATCACAAATGCACATTTTGAAGTTAAACTGAAATAATTTGACCTAATCAATCACTATAATTAGTTTTCTCGGTGTCACCATCAATTTCATCATCGGGTTCTCCATTGAATTCCGTTTCGATTTCCTCTTCTGTTTCGTCATCGATTTCGTCATTGGGATCGATGCAGATATCAATGGTGAAACCATCAATTTCTAGTGGCCCAATATTCGTATGATTTAAGGGAGCTTCATTAACATTTGTGGTGTCAAATGAAATGTCAACCTCATTTGATAACTCTTCTGGATAAGGCTCATTATCTTCATCATCTTCTTGACAAGCCTCAGTTATTATTTTTGAGACATTCTCCTATATATGACGGTGATTGACTTTTTGAACTACTTTCCAAGAGTCACCTCTTTTTTATCATTAATGTAATAGACTTGTTTCACTTGATCTGCCAATACGTACGGTTCATCCTCAAAGCCTAATGAATCCATTTTAATGGTGGTGAAATTATACTATTTTGTCATCCTTCCATTGGCAGTATCAAACCATGAACACTTAAATAAGATCACCTTATTTCAATACAAAAATGACACCTCCCAAATCTCCTCAATCGCACAGAAGAAATCACTTATTACCCCATCACAATCTCCCTCAACATAAACACTAGAATTCTGTGTGGTACGCTTGTCATCTCGGATTTTAGTATATCGCACTCCATTCACCATACAACCAGGATATGAGTGAACAAAAATGTTAGGTTCATTTGCCAGACCATACAAGTCATCAGAGATAGTTGTATCATCTTCTGTATATTTGTCTCTAATCTACAACAATGTTAATGTAAGATATTAAGAAGAACACCATTCACTATAAATTCATATTTCAAACAAAAGCAAACGTTGTCTTACCTTATTTCCAAACCACTTTACAAAGGATGATATTTGGGTGCGCTGAATATCAATAAGATCAACACCTTTTGATCGTAATAATGAAACATGTTCACTGTCAATTATTAACTGTTAAATTTTGTTATTCTAAAAGGAAATGAGAAGGTACACATAAGGATCAACATCTTACTCCAAATATGGCTGTAACTTTTCGGTATTGTTTAGAATATACTAATGTACTTCACGTTTATCTTGTGTCAACATAATAGACTTTAACTTTCCATACAGTCTCACACGTGTTTCAATGTCACACATGTACATTGAACAATATGTCAATGTCTCACTAATAGCAGGTTTACCTACTGCAATCGAGCCTTCTGGACGAGCTTTATTTCTGACATATTTCTTCAATTTCCCTAGTATCCTGTGATATAATTTTGGAGAATTACCCTTGTTCTTATTTAGGAAAATATTTAAACATATACGTAAATCCATTAAATAGAGTGATACCTTTCAAAAGGGTACATCCACCTAGTGTGCACTGGTCCAGCTAATTTGCCTCCTCTAGTAAATGGTAGGCTAGATGGATCATAACATCGAAGAATGCAAGAGGAAAAATCCTTTCAAGTTTACATAATTTGTAAACTATACCTTATTGTAGTGCATCTAAGTCATTTACTAATAATGTCCTTGCACAAAGCTACTGGAAAAATGAACACATCTCAGCAATCAGACCCAACACATGACTTTCAAGTAAGGCCACAATCCTATAGGCAACAGTCATTGCAATAACACGTGATATTCATGACTTTTCAACCCCATGATTTTACCATTGTTAATGTTGACATTTCGGGACATATTTGCTACATATCCATTGGGAAATTTGACTGATTTCAAAAATTGACAAAAAGCTTTCCGCTCCGTAGTAGACAATGTAAAACATGCCGGTGGCTTTTTCCCCTTACCATCCAAGTGCAACTCCTTTCTTATATTCAACTCTTGTAAGCCCAAGCGAGCTTTTTTGGTTTCCTTTGACTTGCCATCTATTCCCAACAAGGTTCCCGCCAAGTTGTCGCATATATTTTTTTCTATATGCATTACATTAAGATTATGACGCAACTTAAGTTTCGACCAATACTCGAGCTCCCAAAAGATACTTTTCTATTTCCAGTTATTGTCGTTTGAGTACCCAGCTTCAAACATTTTTTTTCATGTCAGCTTCACGAACTACTACATCCTTTCTCAGCATAGGAACCCACAACTTGTAAAGCTCTAACAATAGTTCATCACCCAATATTGATTTGGGAGGCATTCCAGTTTCAACAGAACCATCAAAATTCAAGTCGAAACGCCAAGCATGATCCAGATTTAAATAACGGTGATGCCTCATATAACAAATCTTACTTTGTAATCAGAATGAAGCGGTTTCATCCATACACACCGGACAAGCCTCATATCCTTTGGTGGAGTAGCCAGATAAAGTACCATATGCAGGAAAATCATGAATTATCCATAATATTGTAGCACACAAAATAAAATGTTTTTTTTTCAACTACATCATACATTCTAACACCGTTCTCCCATACCTCTTTAAGTTCATCAATTAGAGGTCTCAAATAAATGTCTATGTCTTTCCCCGGTGCCTTCCGTCCCGGAATTAATGTCGACATCATGATATATGTCTGGTTCATACATCTCCAAGGGGGCATGTTGTAAGCCACCAGTAAAACTGGCCACATACTATATGGATTTGCCATATCTCCAAACGGCATGAAACCATCGGAAGGAAGACCTAATCAGACATTACGCGGTTCAGTTGCAAAATCTGGATGTTGTTTATCAAATTCCTTACACACTTCTGCATCAATAGGGTGTCGAAGGACTCTTTCCGCCTCAACACGTTGTTCCTTGTGCCACCTCATATATTCAGCGGTGTGTCGAGACATAAATAAACACTGCAATCTTGTAATGAGAGGAAAGTAGTGCATTTTTCTGTGTGGAACCTTTTTCTCCTTTGCATTACAATTTTTATACCTCTTATGACCACATACCAGACAGGACATTCCTTCAAATCTTTGTACTCTTTGTAATACAACACACACTCATTATGTCACACATGGATGGTCTTGTATCCCAACCCAAGCTTTCGCATCATCCGCTTCGCCACGTAATAAGACTCGGGAATTCTCGAGTCTTCTGGAAATGCCTCCCAAAGTAACTTCAACAACATATCAAATGACTTGTAACTCCATTGATTCAATACTTTTATATGAAGTAACTTCACTAAAAACGTCAATGCAAAGAACTTTGTGCATCCTTCATATAACTCCCTCTCCGCTTCAGCGAACAAATCTTCTAAATTATGTGTCTCTTCTTCGCAAACCCCAATATCATTTATTTCCGCACCATCAGCCATTGAAGATGGATTGACGTGCGGAAATGCATCCACCATCTCATCTCTGTCGTCATCATTATCACTTTTTTCTCCTGCTGCATCATAGTCTTCATCTTGTACATTGGGAGTAGTATCGGTTTCCTCCTCGCCATGATTAATCCAGTTTATATAATTTAAGCTAAAACCTCTAACAAAAATATGACGCTCAACAATATCTATATGACAGAAAAAATAATTCAAATATTTTTTGCAAGGACAACGACATTTCTCATCCGCATCTAGGTGATTACGTGCTTGTTCAATAAATCTTCTCACTCCACTCATATATGTCTCCAAAAGTCAGTTCGTCACATAAATTCAACTCTTATCCATAACTAACATGGTAGTAGATCTATAAGTATGATCAATGAAACTTTGAAGCTAAAACAAATTAAAGGTTGGTGCCTAATGTCTGCCGGCTAAACAAATACAAACAACTATCAAATATGACTACAATCAAATAATCATACCAAGTTGTTTGTTCAAACTCTGTTGTGGAAAGGATTCGTACAGAGAAAATGAAACTCATGAGGTTTTAAGTAGAAACTTTTTGATTGATCATGTTCATGGTTTTCAAAAATTCAGTCATCTAATTACCTGTTTTTGGTGTTTTCACAGGAAAAATATATCTTATACGTCTAAGAACCTAGTTGACTTTTCTTCTTACATTGTTGACCACAAAAGGGTGGATGTGAAAGAGCACTGACAATTGACATTACTAATTACACAAGGGTACTTCTAAAAGGGAGTTTTTACAATAGCATAGGTGCTAATCTAAGGACTATAGGGGCATATTCTTTATGAACTGTCACAAGTTATTGTTTGTGATCAATGTGATAATAAATGTTAATTTCTGACAAGAAAGCCAATTATGCAGGCGTGCAAAAAACAAAAAGGAAATTGAAAGGGGCATATACGTGAAGCATTTCAAGAACATTCCAATGGCTGATTTGGAGATAGTACTTGTGAGTTTTTAATTACTCTAAATGCATGTGTCAATGCTTATCAGAGTTTGCAGTGGTGTTAGCTCACTGATGTTAATGAAACTTGGGGTGAATTCTTGATTCAGTGCAACAAGAAACTGTATGTTGGCTTCCCCAGCTGTTTTTGGGAGGCTAGAGTTTTTGATAAGGTGTCTTGGAGGTTACTCCTCTTATCAGAAGGAAACCCAAGGAGTGAAATCCATGGCTGGGCCCACTTCAGAAGCTGATTCTGAGAACATTTTGAGGGCAATTACTCCAACTCTTGATCAGAGTAAACATAAGGGCCAAGCGGGTAAGCTCAAAAGATTGCTACTTACTAGAATTTTGATTTATATAAATGTGTATTCGCACATATATATGTGTGGGTTTTTTCGGATTGCTTAGGTTAATGTTCTTTCTTGTTTTGGTCATTCTAGCATATAATGTTTATTAATCTTACTCCATGGGCTAGTCATAGTAATCCTAATCTGTTGTTCTTATTTCAGTCTATTTGACAACAAAATTTGTAGTTTCTCTACTTTTGAAGAACAAATGTCAGTGTTGGCAACTTGGCATAGTACTTGCCGATTTTTTGTTGTGGTGCCTACACTTTGAACTCTTGGTCTTGGGTTAATTACTTCAAATAAGTCATGCACAAGCATGATATCCTTCGAAATTCTTTTCTTTCTTTTTTTTCCCTTTTCTTTTCCATTGTTTTGTGGGGTTCAACAGAGCGAGAATGAGTTTTTATAATGCAATCAGCAATAAAAAAGTTGAAATCAGCAATAAAACTAAAAACATTTCCACGATGAGAGAGAGATAGAACTGACCGGAACGACGAGAATCGGCAGCGGCAAAAGCGACAATCGACGGCGGCGAAAGCAGGAATCGGAGTCTACGACACCGAGAATCAGCGGCTCGAGAGAGAAGGAGTGAGAGAGAGGAAGAAGGGCGATGGGTATAAGCTAGGAAGAATGGTGCATGGGTGTGTTTTGAAATTTTAGGGTGGGTTAGGTTAAAATGATTTTCCCACACAAATTTTGTTCTTTTTTTGTTACCAAAAAAATGTTTTTGTTCTTTTGGTAGCAAAAAACTTTTTTTTGTCACCAAAATATGAATTTGGTAGCATAATCATATTTTTTGCTACCAAAATTTAGTATCAGAAAATTATGTTTTTTGTTATCAAACATTATTTTGCTAGCCAAAAACATATTTTTTTGCTACTAAAATTTAATTTGGTAGTAGAAAGACATATATTAAAAAATTAAAAAAACACTTTTTGATGACAAATATTATTTTAGACTCATTGTTCTAGTAACATTATAACAAAAATATATAGTTTTGAAATTGCAATATATTATTCTATGTTAAAAGGCAATCAAATAGTAAGATTATATATTACTCTATGTGGAACATTACTTAATTAACAATCACATATATATACACATATGGACATGTCTCTTGCTACACCTACACAAAATAACTAAATTATTAAATAATTGTTATACAGAATATACTAGGATGATTGTTAAAACTTAATATAGGACATATTTATGGAAAACAAAAAAAAAACAATGCATGCACAAAATGTAAGTTTTAAAGTTTTTATATGATTTGCTACCAAACACAACTTTTGGTAGCAAAAAACGCCTATTTTCACCAAAATAAGAATTTGGTAGCAGAATCATGTTTTCTGCAACCAAAATTTGGTACCAAACATTATTTTGGTAGCTAAAAGCATATTTTTTACTACCAAATATGAATTTGGTACCAGAAATTAAACATTAAAAAAAATAACGTTTTAAAGTCAAAAATTATTTAAGAATAATTATTCTAATAACATTATAACAAAAAATGTAGTTTTAAAATTGAAATACATTATTCAAAGTTAAAAATTAATCAAATAGCGAGATTATATACTACTCTATGTGGAAACATATACTTAACTAACAAGATCACATATGTGTACACATGAACATGTCTCTTGTTTCACCTACACAAAATAACTAAATTATCAAATAATTGTTATACAAAATATACTAGGATGATTGTTAAAACTTAATATAAGACATATTCATAGAAAATTGAAAAATAAACAAAAAAAAAGTAATACAAGCACAAAATATAAATATTAATGTTTTTATATGATTTGCTACCAAACACAACTTTTGGTAGCAAAAAACGCCTTTTTGTTACCAAAATAAGAATTTAGTAGCATAATCATGTTTTCTACTACCAAAATTTGGTAGTAAAAAATTATGTTTTTTTGGTAGCAAAAACTTGATTTTTCGCTACCAAATTTTGATAGCAGATAGTTTTATTTTGCTACCAACACTTGGTAGCAAATGTTATATGTTTTGCTACCAATACTTGGTAGCAAATGTTATATGTTTTGCTACCAAAAATAATTCGGTAGCAAATACCTCGGGCCGGAAAAAATTTTGCTTCCCATAAACTTTTTGTTACCAAAACATGTTTGGTAGCAAAAAAGTAATATTTTGGTAGCAAAAAAATTATTGGCGGGAACCAAATTTCATTTCCTATTGTGTTATTTGATACCAAATTATATTTGGTAGCGAATTGTGTTGTTTTTACTGTCAAATTTGGTAACTAAATCCTTGATAATTTCAGTTAACAAAGTTTGATAGTAAAAAGTGTGTTTTCTGTTACTAAAAGTTTTTTTGTATCAAAAAATTTTCTCTCTTAAAGTAATTATTCTTATAGTGGAACCTACAATAATATTTGAATAAGCTAGAGGGCAAAACAAATGGGTCCCGCATATGTATTTTAGCTACGACAATTATTAAATTAAGGTATAATGCAAGAATATATATTTCTTTATATCAGAAAACAAAACAAAAAAAAAAGTGAAAAACCATTTGAGCGAATCTCAAGTACTATAATTACAATTTAAATACAGCAACTTTTAGAATGAAATGAAGACAGAAAAATAAGCCTGAAAGTTTCTGGAAAAAAAAAAACACAGACATTTAGAACATCAAAAATTAAAACAACACATGGCTTAAGAAAATCCGCCACCCATAACGTTTTTGAAAGAAAACAAAATAGTTTCTTAAAATATATTTCAAAAGAATATTTTTGTAATTAACCCTTAAGTATAAATGATCTTATAAAAAAAATGGTTGAGACAAGAGCAATTACATTGTTATAATATATCCATTGGTTTATCGTCTTCTAACTAAGTACATCCACAATAATTCTTCTGGTCGTTACTGTTAATATTAATACAGAGAGGTTATATTTTCTGATTTGAATTTTGTAAAGAATGAAGTACAAGATGATAATTGAATGAAAGATGAATTGATAAAACGTATATTGAGAAAGACGTCTTTAATAGTCTTGGTAATGAGGTTATTACGCATATCAAGGCATGAAGTTGGGCCAATATATGTATAGATTTTAATTAAATTTTTCTTTAGTTATTTGCCCCCACTTACAAAACTTTTTGGCTCCATCACTGGACTTCATCATGCGTGTATACTTGCATATACGGGGCGTTAGAATATATACTGCTCACTTTAATATTCCCTCCGTGAGAAAGTGAAAACTCAAACGACAGAGCATAGGAAAAGCATTTTATAGTTACTAATTGATATTGTTACAAAGCTATCACATGAACTAATAAAAGCTGGACTGGCCAATATTAATTTAATTTTTCACTAAAAAATTAAAATCCATAAAAGCTGGACTTGCCAATATTAATTTAATTTTTCAACATAAAAGTAAAATCCATAAAAATATAACAGAGCACACCAATCCATTCTTCTACAGATACCTAACACTTAATTATAAAAACTATGGGCCTGTTTGGTTCCGTTTTCGTTTTCGTTTTTTACGTTTTCCAAGAACAAAAAAATGAAAATGCTCTGAGGGAGCCGTTTGGCAGCATTTCTTAAAAAACAGAAAATGAAAACGTTTTTTACTTATTCTTAAAAACTCAATAAAACTGAAAACGATTGAACTTTTCTATACATTTCTTTTAATATATATTCCTGTTCGAGAAAGCGAAAAATAAAATTAGAGATAGTAGAGTAAAGCATTTTATTTACTACCAATTATTACAAAAGATGAACTAATATTAGTGCGCAAATATATTAATTTTATTTTCAAATTAATAATAACGGGCATGCAGAATAACAACTTTTTTTTTTTAGATGCACCAAATATATCGACTGATAGACTGATATATATGAATGTATGTTTCCCCACTTTCCCCGGAAAAAGGAATAGAGAACATTATTTAATTTAGAGAAATAGTAGGATCATATCGATAATTAGTCAAAAAGAGGAAGGTGGAAAGGGGCTATGACCAGAACCAAATGCTTTGATGTGGTCTTTGAGGGATCTCTTGTGCTTGAAATCAGAACCGCAAACGCAAAGCCAGCGCTTTCCGCAGTTCTTCTCGTGGGTTCTCCAGTCACCTTTGACGGCCAACAACTTGCCACATTTGCGACACGTGAAGGGCTTCATGCCATGCTTCCTTTTGTAGTGAGTTTGGAGCGTCCTAAAATCTTTGAGAGGCTTGGCTCGCGGGTGCTCTATGTTGTTTTTGCATCCTTCTGCGCAGCAATAACATGGAATCCCAAGCATCACTCGTGGCTGCGTTCCTTTCAGCGACTCCGGCCCTCTTCGATATTGTGATCCATGCCCCCACATATGCATCTATATTTTATAGATATATATATATATATATATATATAGAATAGTCATGACTAACATGCCAAGGGTAATTCAGAAAACACACACACATATATATATATATGTATATACACACGTACACACATACACACACATATACGTGTGGATGACTAATTTTAATATATATGTACGTCTTGACTTTCACATATAATAGTGATATTCTCGAAAAAATATTCCAAAATAGGCGTTATATAGCTATACATAATTATATGTAAATGTATTGGTCTAGTGTACAACACTAGCTATTAGATAGCGTTACGTATCAATACTCCAATAAGAGTGTGTGAGATTTAGTACTAATTAGTCGTTGATTTTACTCGGTTGGTTTTGAGAATTTGTAAGGAATGTGCATGATATTTAAGTCATTATAAAGCAAATACATATACAGAAAATTTGAAATATGGCCACACCTGAAGATTGTTATAGCGGTTGAATGTCTTGAAGCAGACATGGCAGGAAAAGTGAGTGAAGCCGATGAGAATTTGTTCCGGAGTTGGAATCCAGTACTTCTCGGCTGCTGCGACGTCGTTTGGATCAGGGGTTCCGTTGGAATCCATGATGAACCCATAATGATCCGGTGAATATTCTGGAAGACCAATGTGCAAAGCCACAGTAACATCTTCATTATGATCAATTACTTCAAGATTACTGCACGCTTTAGGGTTTTCATATGCAGGTTGTTCAGGTGAACGAAGTAAGCAGCTTATTAGTGGAAGAGGCTCAAGATCATTTTGCTTCTCGTTTGGGAAAAGGTCGAGGGGTTTGTTACCCTCAATATCATTATCTTTAGAAATAAAGGGTTGACGATAATATGAGCTAGTTGATATTGATGAATTAGTCGTTTCAGAGAAGTACTCCATATATATTATTAAAAAAAAATTATAACTCGTAATTCAATTGAATATGTGAAGGATACTCTGTGCTTTTATAATGATATTTTAGCTGGTTAACGTTCTTGAAGAGTGATTTTACGTGAAAACGAGATGAGAGAGAGAGAGAGAGAGAGAGAGTTAAGTTCTGTGGCTGGAGAATATTGTAGTTGAATGAAAAGAACCTTTGAAACGGGGGGTCTTAATTCTCTCCTGTATGCAAAATTTATCTGATATGGGAAATGAAAGGTAATAACCTTAATATCTGTGGCCCATAGCGTCTGAATTGAGCAAGACTTGCATAGCAGAGGGTTGAAAATCTAGGGAAATATTGTACGTGTTATTTAATCTTGTTATTTAAGTACTCTCAACACGAGTCAACGCCACCAGAGATAGAGAGAGCTAGAGAGCAACATTGCAGGTGAAAATGATTCATTTTCCATTCTTGGGACGTGCAATATGGACTTTTTCGTTAATAGCCATTCCGTATAAGCTTTCTCCGATGTCTTTTTGCGGCCTACTTTTACATTCTCTAAAGTTTCCAAAAGCAACTATATTTGCATGTTAATGATCTCTTTTTCTCTCTAATATATAGAGCATATTAATTTCTTTCTCGATCTTTGAATTATACATAAGGGAATACTCACCCGGAGTTCCATGTAAGCTACAAACATATACTTTCACCGTTATGTATTATTACTAATGCCCATTTAGTTTGCTGATTCGAGTTGAAATATACTTTATATGAAAGCTTTTTACTGTAATAAAAAAGTTAAATTTAACTGTTTATGAAAGTTTTTTATTGTAGCAAAACTCGAATTCTAAACTTAAATCCACACACTCTACTACTAGATCTTAATTAAGTTGGCACGTATTAATTCACTCATCCTGAATCAAATCCACACACAATTTAATACATATAATATTATAAATGCGGTAAGAGTGGATTTGAAATGAGATTATTAATAAACAAATGCAATTATCAGATTTCTTGTGTCATTAAGATATATAAAACATTGGCGTATTACATTATATATAAACCTTCATATATTGATGGCGATTTTCCATTTTGTAACTTAGTGTCGATGGTTTTAAAATTGATGAGGTTTTGAGTGCCAGAGTTACCATTTTAACAAGACCAAAATATGAGGTATCCTCAATATATAAATAACTTGACAATCAAATTCTAATTGATAATAGAAAATTTCTTCCCTGATCATCTGTTTTGATACATTTTGAAATAGATATCGCTAAACAATATTATAGTTCATCGAATAATTAACAACTCAATGAAAAAAGAAAGTGAAAAACAGAGAAGCTAGCGTTATTTTCTTTCTGCTCACGGAAAAAAAAAAAAAAAGAATTGAACAAAAATTGCATAAGGATGTTGATTAGATTATCCTTTTTCTTGTCAAAGCTGTGAAGAAGGTACATGTCGTAGTCTCTTGGAGCAGTTTCGCCAGAATGTTACAGCTTTGGACCCAAAGAATTTTAATAAAATGCTGAGAATAGGTAAAAAGACGATTGAAAGAGATGAAAACTAATAATTTCAACGAGATTATTGTACAACTGGAACTTTTTAGAGCATGTATATATGGAAGGTTTCTTTTAGGTATTTGGACTTTCCGAAGTGCTGACTCCAGCTTCTGTTTCCGTGGAGGCACGTTGTTGAGTCTGTGAATCTGTGACAACAATAAATCAATATTGTTAGAGATTGAGGTTTTATTTAATTAGTATATAAATTAATTTAATTTCTACAGCTACCAGAGAGAAAAAAAGAGACTCTGCTAAAAACAACCCTGTGCATAGTTTTTGATGGAAGAAGTAAAAAGAGATGAATAAGGTCGTAAGTTAAACTCTCCAATTCATGACTTATATAACAAAGATAAAGAATCAAATTTCAATACAGCCAAAAACTACATATAAATAATGACGTAATAGTTTTCTCTTGATTTTTTTTTTTTTTTTTTTACTGCATATCAAACTCTTTCTTTTTATCTTTTTCCATCAATGAGATAGCAAAGTATCGTGACAGTGTACTGTGAAAGTATCATTGTTCATCAATAAGCAACCAGCTTGGAGTATTTAAGTTTGTACAATCAGTCAACCAGTTAGTTAGGATGGTCCTGCTTGTTTTTATGACACATGAGTTTGCACGTCACCATTTTCTAATAAAATTCTGTCTATTTCCATGGTAGCTCTTGAAGAGTAGGTTTAGGACTATATAAATACACACATACATACATTCTTTCAACTTCAACAACCGTTATCCTGTACTATCTAGAGACTAATCATGAAGAGATGAAAAGAAAAAAAGAAAAGAAAAGGCCTCGATAGCTTTTATAAGTTTTCAGTAAGTAACGTGTATCTTAATTAACCAAAGAATAACTTTGAATGGCATGAATGATTGCTAGAGTACACATTTATATGTACGCTACCTAATTATTAAAAAAAAAAAAAAAAAAAAAAAAAAGGGGGCAAGTTTTACTTGGGTTGTTACTCATTAGGCTAGAATATAGCTGTTTCTCACTATCTTCATGAGTAACGTGAAAATGATGTTTTCATTAAGTTCTAACAAAATTACTACAAGAAATATAGACCATTTCCTCAATTTATATGTTCGCCCTCCTGTCTTCCTTGTTAATATGATTAAAGATAAAGAAAATTAAATTAAATTAAAATTAAAATTAAAGGTAGCTGCATCGCAAAAATGTCTTCTTTTCGTGAAAGGTAGGGAAGAGTTATTGTACTAGCTACATTGCTTGGCAAGAATCCAACGAAAACATTTCTTGAAATGGCAGATTCTATGCTGCATTGATCTTTCTAGTTTTATCCACTTTACATATTTTTATATATTTTGTTTCCACTGGAGAAATATTTGCACACTAATTATAATATATATATATATATTAGTAGTGAGGGTACAACTTATTGTGGGCCCGAGTGGCTCTTTATATATGACTGACCAACTCGACCCTGCAATATTCAGAATCAAGCATCATGCATCTAACACATAGAAGACCACAAGCAGTCACTATTAGTTTACTCTCTATGCTCCTCTGTCGCTACTTTCCACTATTTGACTTATTACGGCCTGGGTCACGCCCATGTAACCCAGACAGCTCATTTCACATGGGCATGGGGTTCCCCATGTGGCCCCACTTATCCCATGTTACACACTAAAAAAAAAAAAATTTATCGGTTTAAATTTAGAATTTAAATTTTATTATAGTAAAAAACACTCAAAAACAGTTATATTTATATTCAGAATCAAGCATCATGCATCTAACACATAGAAGACCACAAGCAGTCACTATTAGTTTACTCTCTATGCTCCTCTGTCGCTACTTTCCACTATTTGACTTATTACGGCCTGGGTCACGCCCATGTAACCCAGACAGCTCATTTCACATGGGCATGGGGTTCCCATGTGGCCCCACTTATCCCATGTTACACACTAAAAAAAAAAAAAAATTACCGGTTTAAATTTAAAATTTAAGTTTTATTATAGTAAAAAATACTCAAAAACAGTTATATTTAACTTTTTTATTACAATAAAAAATTCTCACATAAAATCACATCTCAACTCGAATTAAAAACTCAAATCAGCGAATTAAACGGACCCTATATAATTATGTATGTTGTATTGTTGTCCTTCAGTCATGTAAAATTCTCACATAAAATCACATCTCAACTCGAATTAAAAACTCAAATAAGTGAATTAAACGGGCCTATATAATTATGTATGTTGTATTGTTGTCCTTCAGTCATGAATATATATGCATGTGTACATATAATAATACATTGATACGTATATACTATATATGTGCAATATAATTAATAAGAGGATCGTAATTAATTGTGTGTATAGAATGTATGTATGTACCAGTGGGAGAGGGAAAAGGATGCCTTGTGGTGGTGGGTTGAAAAGGATAGCTAGAGAATGACCCTTCAAGGTGGTGAGGGGGATTAGGGTAGTAGAGATATGAAGGTGGTCCAGCAATACGCTGTGGCTGGGGCACTGTTGAAAATGGTCCTCTTGGAGATTGCAAGGAATACCCGTAGTAGTATGGAGTATTCATTGTTGAAGATGATGCAGTTCCGTACAGTTGATGGTAGTACTGTGCTGGCTGTTGGACTTGTGGGTTATACATTGCCTGCAACCATATTCAATGATATCAATATACCTATATATATATATATATATATATAACACTGCCTTTTTTCCTGTTTTTTTAGAGAGAGAGAGAAAGAGAGAGAGAGTTACTTGGTGATACCCATAATCAGCTGGTGTGTAGGTTGGGTAGCTGCAATGTAGTAAGTAAATGAAATTGATGAGTGGATCACATGAGTCAAAAAATTATACTTGATAGTTGATACACACGTATATACATATATATATACGAGTAGTATATTATATATAGCTTTGACACTATACAACCAACATTAACATAAATTCGTTTTATGGTGAACATAGTAGCAGCTGACAACAATAAAGTGAACTATTAATTATTGAGTGGATTGTACATCTAAATCATACAATGCCGTTGAGTTAATTAAGCACAACTATAAATATAAGCATGTGTGTATACACATGCACTCTTTTGCTGATCGCAAAATTATGCATATGTGGAAATTTTCGGTTTAAGTGTCAATTAAGGACTACTTCCATCACTGAGAATGACCCCTTGCACATGAACACACAGAAATACGTACACATATACGTACACCTAAAATTATGTAGGAGAGTACTTCCCATAGGTTGAATGCTCAGAATAATATATATAATAAAAAAAAAATGCTATTGTCACTCTTGACAGTATTGTTTGACATATTAACTCCACTCTTTTATTTTCTTTCTAAATAATGATATATAAACAATGAATGTAAAAAGTGATAAATAGGTGATAGAAAGAGTAATACTAATATGTCTCGTAATAAAGAATTTTCTTTTATTTTATGCATATTAACTCCACTCTTTTATTTTCTTTCTAAATAATGATATATAAACAGTGAATGTAAAAAGTGACAAATAGGTGATAGAAAGAATAATACTAATATGTCTCGTAATAAAGAATTTTCCTTTATTTTATCTATATAAGCTAGCAGACAGCTAGTTAATTTGCTAAATGGTAAGAAGCCAGCTAACAAACAAGCTTTTACTGCATTGATCAAGCTGACAAAATTAACGAAAACTAATTTAATGTGAAATTGGAATTGCCACTGATATTTACAGCTTAATATAAAATAAGTACTAAAGCGGAAAAGAATATCTATCATTTGTAAATAGAGGAACCCCCATGTGTGTATACATGACTTTTACAACCAATATCATTCTTCCCCGCTTGATAACTTTTTCCCCCTTTTTTTACCTTTAAAGATCGTTAGACCTAACGTCTTTTGACTTCGATAGCATTGCTAATTATAATGTGGCAATCGATATTATTTGCTTTAAAATCACTTAAACTTTATAACAATTTTACTTGCAAGTTAATCCACAAGTCTTCTGTTAGTGAAGTCAAAAGTTGCCCGATCCCTTGGAGAAGTTTTACCTAGCTATCACGGTGTGTATATATGTATAAAAATGACTAGATATATAAGAGACTGAAGGCAAAACATTATTGATAAAATCCGAAACTTGGTGGACCCAAAGAACGTAGAGCTAGCTCTAGCAATGCACATGTTATGAGTATGCCATTAGGACAACATTGCATACCCCACCTCCTCATTACCAGGTCAATATTTATGATTTTTAATTGCCATCTAAAAGCTACATACCAACTGTACTTACTAGCAAATTCATCAAACCTAGAAAATGACACCCCAAGCCTTTCCTTATTTTAACTCGGTATAACTTAATGCATATATAGACCATTGCACTAAAAGAGTATAGCAAAATTTTGGACGATCACTAACTATAGTATTATTTGTCATTTTATGATTAATAATTTTAATTCTTTTTCCTACTCACGCGTATGGTTGATAGATAACTGGAGGGGGCGGTGGTGGCGGCGGCGGTAATGGCGCGGGGACTGATCCACTGTAACTCGGTACAGCATGACCTTGTGGTGACCCTCCCTGAAAGGGACTGCCACCTTGATTTCTTCCTGCCTCAACCAATTGAACAAGATAAATATCTTTTCAACATCATATCTTATCCAAATTGCCACTAAAGATTACATATGGTCATGTTAATCATAAACAATCTTTATAATTCCAAGTTGATCATTAAAAAAAAAAAAAATGTGGACCTCGTGGGGGCGATGGTCGAGGCCTCCCTAATGAAGCGATGTTACAATTTGCTCTCCTTCCATCAATCACTGGATTTGGGTTGGCGCAAGCCCTCCTCGCCGATTCAGGATCGCGAAAAGTTACCTACTTTTCCATTAATCACAACAATAAAAAAATACTGCATAACATAAAATAACAATAATAGATACATATAGTAGAATATATATGATTGCTTACGAATCCATAGCCTTTAGATTTGCCAGTGTTCTTATCGGTGATGATAACAGCTTCAAGAATGTCGCCGAACTGTTCGAAATAACTCCGCATTTCATCGGTGGGAGTTTCCCAGGCAAGGCCTCCAACAAACACTTTGGTGAACGTCGTATCTCCGAACTGTGACCGGTAATGCGGGTAATTAGCCATGTCCTCTAATTACTCATCAAAAACGACAATATTATTTGGGGCGAAATATTTAATACGATGATGGTGGTGATGATGATGATGATGATGATCAACAGCTCCTTGGCAATAGTACCGATCATAGAGTAGACATAGTAGAAGCAGTAGCAGCAGTAGTACCGACTAATAATAAGTCATGGAATGGTCTCTTCCACCACCACCTAGGAGTACTCTTTGAACGTTGCTGATCATCTTCCATATTATCATAATTTTAGTAATTTTTTGTCTCTCTCTCTCTCTCTCTCTCTCTCTCTCTCTCTCTCTCTCTCTATCCACAACCTAGATAGCTTGCTCCTAAGTTGCTAATCTAATATTAGTTGCGTTGGCCTCACAGGAGGAGAATTAGGGGAAGAGAGAGAGAGAGAGAGAGATAGAGAGGAAAATCATTGAAGGAGGGACAGGGAAAGATTTTGAAAGAGATGGATATAGTTAATGATGTTGTTGTGTATGGGTTGATGGGCTTAGCTGGTTTGAAATAGAGAGAGACAGAGTGGGGGAGTTTGGTTGGTTAAAAGAGAAAAAAATGGAAAAAAAGCGGTTGAGAGAGAGAGAGAGAGAGAGAAAAAGAGAGGAAAAAAAATAGAGAGAGAGAGGGAGAGAGAAAATTAGAAAGAGAGAGAGATCCGACAGCTGCAAACGCTAATTTGCTGGCTGTGAGGAAAGAGTGGGTTGTGGGCTTTGTAATTCCGAATGACAGCTGCGTGACTAACGCACTTGGAGTGTGTCCTCCTGTCTCTCCCCCATTAATATACTCCCCCACTCCTGCAATCAAAATTAATCTCTTTTCTTTTCTTTTCTCCTCTATACATATTTTTTTTATCTTCTTTTTCGTTTTAGAAATTCTCGAGTACCAAAAAGAAAACACTCTAGCAATAGTGAATAGTGAATTTTCAACTAAATCCAACTCACACGTCATGTTTTTCATATTCCTCTAATTATATCTTGTTACGCTAATTAAAATATTTTAATTGATATAGTATTTGAAAATAATTCTATGAAATCGAGCTATTTCAATTTATTATATCTCTTTATTTTGTGCTCCTCTTAATCTTTAGTCCGCAGAAAGAGAGAGAAGCATTAGGTCGGTGTTAAGCTCGACTATTGTCGACACTCAAAGGGATATTTTTCTTGTAATCTTTTGATTAGAAGAGATTGTTGTTGATGATTTTCTGACTATTAGTATATACTAAAATTATATACAGTTATATATTTATATATCAGATCATGCCAACATTTTTTCTTTTGTACTTGTGGAGACGTGGGTGGGGCGTTTGAGAGTAATACAAGATAGATAATCTTAACAAATACTTTAAAAGTGTATGAGTCAGAATTTTTACCTTTTATTTTAATTTATAACTTTTTTAGTCAGATAATTACACTAATAAAAGAGTATTTATCAAGAGTAGGGAGTAAAAATTTAGACTCATACACTCTCAAAAGTAAATTCTCCATTTTTTCATATATGATTGGACCCTCCGATCATCATCGGGTTGCCACTTTGAGTCCACAAATTATTTCAAATAGCTAGACCCTTGATTGTTGTTTTGGTTCTCTCTTATTAATAATAATCACAAATAACTTGTTCATATTTTAGTATTACATGATGCGTTGTTCGATTTAATGTTTTTTATTGGTTTGTTGCGAAGCAATGTTGGACCACAGCACTTGTTATAATTACTCTTTAATAATTTGTTTGTATGAAAGAAGTGGTCTTATTAATGTGTTACTTTTACTTTCTAATAATTAATTTATTACCTTTGCTTCTCTGGAAGAACTATTACCATCAAAAGAACAGCTAATTTATGCGTATATGCTGCTTTTTTTTTCTTATTTTATTTGTGCCAATTTTATTCTCTCTTTTCTATATGTTTGTACACGTAGAGACATATATAAATATTGGAACGGCCTCTTGTTGTACGTACATAATTATATGCCAAGTGCTAGTTCAAATATTCTCACATGACCCCATGTTCCTAAACCTCTCTAATCATAAGTTGTGTCAAAGCCAACTTCCCAACAAGAAAAGAAAATCATAACAGTTAGGATTAAAGAATGGTATTATAGTTTAATACCAAGAATAGCTACAGATAGGAAATCATGTGCAATGTAGCCATGGACGGCAACCATGATAACAAAAACTTTAGACAATAATTATATATAATTTATAAGGAGAATTATATGTGATAAGGTACGAAAAAAATGCATACCTTATCGGTAAGATACAATTTTTAACTGTGAAACTAAATTTAATTACAATTTGGATGGTTATATGAAACAAAATATTATCAAATTAATATAAAGTGTGACAATTTAATGAAATTTGACGAGAACATAATAGTTAAAATCTCGGACCCTTCATATTGTGTAAAAGAGTTCTTCAACTTTTAACATTATATCTATCTGCATTAGATCATTCCCTGGTCAAGAATTAATCATAATTGAAAAGCTAAATGGCAAGCAAATATTATACAATTAAACCCTAATGGAAGGCCTTTATTCATCATTATTATCTTGTCGATAATTTAAAATGTATATAAATATATCTGAGCATGAGAGCCACAAATCAAAGTCTGTATGGGGTCTTATGACAGACTTTTGAAGGATTGTCGCCCACGAATATACAATTCTACTTTGGGAATACATATTTGTCATATCCGTATTTTGTAAAGCCTGGATTAAAATACAAAAACAGATCATAAAGCAAAGCTTTACCAATCACTTTTTGGCTGTGAAAACACATGAGCAGTCCGCACGCACACACGACTTTCAAGAGAGATCGTAAGAGGAAGAGAAAGGAAAATAGATTAGCTTTAAAAAAAAAAAGCTTTCTTATTTAATTTAAAAGCCGTTTTTAAATTTATTTAAATGAATAATTTTAAAGTATTTTTAATTTTTTTAAGCACTTATAAAATAAACCATATCCTTAATGCTTATAAAAAAAGGGTTTATGAAAAGTTTATTTACATTTTTAGCCTTTTATTTGTGAACAAAAAAATAAATATCTCATCCATATCCTTTTATCACATTATTTTTTACAACAATAAGTGATTTTGACTTTTTATTCAAATTGGTTCAAAAGTTCTTCTTAAATATAAAAATATTTTTCAGGCATTATCCAAACACTAATTAAAAAGACTTAACTTATGTTTATTTTTTTTCTACTACTTAAAAAGGTACAAACACAAGTTATCCCAAATATGCTTGTTCTTTTTTCTTTTCTCAAACAAATCATCATGGACAAATAAATACTGATGCACTCCATCTGCTGCAATATATTGTTAACATAGAATTAGATATATCAGCGATGTTCCTAAATTGCCATATGAGAAAGCCGAGTACAAACATTCTCCATTTGCTTCCCCTAAGGAAAAACAATTACTGACTTTCTTCAGTAAGGAAATATTCAATTTTCTCAAGAAACAAGTGGGCTATTTTTTTATAAAATTATGCTCAATTCCATTTGCCTAAATTATCTGAATTGTTCAGAAGAATTCTACGAAACATATGAAGAAAAAAATTGTGTACACCTATAAACATGTGAAGAAAAAATTTGTGTACACCTATAAGGTTTTGTGTTAAATTATGAAATGTGTATTAAATTCTGTCAATTTTACATCCTCTTAATTTTATTTTAATACATAATCAGATCAGATTTAACATTTATAAACAAACATTGATACATTATTGGTGTTAAGGTATTTAGATCCATTTGGTGCATTAATCTAATTCGTATTAGTTTAGAATTTAAAATGCAGCTCAAACTCATGATTTCAGGATTTGAAACTCTCCTTATTTGTCCAATTTGAACATATATGCGATAATAATAAAGCGCAAACTAATGATCACATACACACTATATATTTTTATTTTATTTTTTCACGGTTCAAACCCTGGTTATCAAACTATCACAGCACGGATTCAAATTTTTTTTTTCTTTTTCAGTTTAGGTTTGCAATTTATCTGTTTATACGATTGAGATCATAATTAAATATTTATGTTTAAACTTTACAAGTTTAAATCGCTTGTATTCTATTTCTATACACAAAAACAACGCAATTAACACTAGTAATGTTAAGATAAATTCGATGGGACCGATTCAAATTACTTGTTTAATTTTTAGTATGTCTAAATAATCATAATTTATTGTGTTATTTAATGAATAAACATGAAAAATTTATTAAAAAATATTTTAAATAATGTGATATAATATAATTAATTAGAGATATTTAAATATGAGAATTGGATAGTTAATTTGAGTGCGGGTGAAACAAAAAATACGCTGAAAGACGAATAATGGGACGTTTGAAGCAGTCGTCATCGAACTTTGTCAGCGTTAGGGACGAGGAGCGGACAGCTATGAAATAAGCACATCCGGTTTTTATGAATACGTGAAACTGCACAAGCCCGTGAACTGGCTATTGCAGGTACTCAGTCCTCTCCACGTGGGGTCCTATCAAACTTTGAGAACAGTGAGCTGGATTTCCATCCCAACTTTTTCCCTCCCTCTCTCTCCTTATCATGGCCCCACCAATCCCATGGCTATTTAAAGCTGCGCCTCTTTTCTTCTTTGTGCTCTCTACTCTCTAGTAATACTCAAAAACTCTCTCTTCTCCCATGTCTAATTCTCAAATACCCAAGTCATGCATGTGTTCATTTTCAGAACGGTAAAACGAGACTTACTTTGATGTAATGATGTGTAAATTATGTAATAAAAAAATTAAATACGACTGTTTTTGATAATTTTATATTTTATTATAATAAATTTAAATTTTAAATTTAAATCGGTAAAATAAATGAACCAAATGAGTATTTTCTACCCTCCAGTGTTTTTCCACTTATGGGCAGTCATATCTAATCATGTTTTTGTCGTGTGCATTTTCTGATTCCGCCCAACCCAACCCAATGCAAAGTTTTATCTGTCTGCTGAGAGCTCTTCTCTGTTCATGATGGACGTGATTCAAAAAAAAAAGCTCCATTTTTTCACCTTTTTTGCGTTGGGGTTGTTTGCTTTCTTTCTCCTATCCTAATTAGAACGTATAAATGCAACTTATGTTGAAATAAATGCATCAAAAGATAAGTTTAATTAATATTTGATATGGTCATAATTGACCATTAAAATTCTCTGTTTGTGGACTGAACCCAAATTCAACTCGTCAGCCATTGCTTATTGATGTTTGATTCTCTCCTTTCATATTGATTTTTAATTTTCTTCAACACATATAAGTAGACATGACAACCTACGGACTTCAAAACATTTCAAGACCTTGCCTCACCGTCTCCAATAAATGTTCAAGGAAAGGATAAGTTGGACTTTAGGCACATCACCAAAGCTATGAAATTCAATTGAAGGAAAAAATAAAATGTAGAGAGGGATTTGAAGTCTAA